TGTGTGTGTGTGTGTGTGTGTGTGTGTGTGTGTGTGTGTGTGTGTGTTTTAAATAAGGCCTCAGCGACAGCCAAATAGGTCATCTGCCCTTGAAAGAGTGACACGAGACTGGGTGAGTAGGAATCTTTTTTTCACCATGTCCTATTTCACAGGACAAATAAAAAGGAAACGCAACACTTAGGAACACACACACACACACACACTGTGCCCTGAATCTGTCAGGGTCTCGGTCCCCCTTCTTCCAGTCAGATACAAATTTCCACAAAGGACTTGTCGCAATCTCACCGTGCTTATTATTTAATTTTTTTTCCTCTTTCAGACTTATTTTTCCCATAATTCAGAGCATCCCTCAGCAGCACCGAGCAACTTCTCAAATGAGCGCGGGCAGGTTCCAATAGCACGAGCACAACTCGTCTCTCCTTGGAGGCTTCTCTTTCTTTCTCTCTCTCTCCCCCCTTCTCTTTCTCTGCGGCCCCCGTAACTTCTTTTCTCTTTACTTTGCTCTTTCCTCCATCATTCCCCTCAGTAGGGTTGCCGGCTGCAGAGGAGAAAAAGAGAAGTCTTTCATGTTGAAAGAAATCCAACCTCTGGTTCCTGAAACACCAAAACCGTCAGCCGTCAAGTGTTCAAATGAGATGCAAACGACAGCTACACATATTTTTAACCCTCTTCATTTCATCCGGGAAAGGGGGTTTTTGGTGAGCGTGTGCGCTGTTTGCAATCGATATTCAGCTTCGTTCTCACACGGTTATTTATATATTTGTTTCTTTGCTACAGGGACAGAGCACGTTAATGAACATCAGGATAAAAGATGTAAACATATCAAAAGTTAGCAAGAATGCTAATTTACATCCGTAGTCCCTATAGGCAGGTAAAAACAGAAACACGTGACAATATAAAGAAAGAAATAAAATGTCAAGTTGAAAGATGCTCATTATTCACAATGCTCTGCTGCTGGCTGCTTGATAAAGCCCCAGTGGGGTTTACCTTGCTCAAGGTCAGACTGCCTGATGGAGAGTTTTTCATTCCGGTCCATTCGGGCCAAAAGAGACTTCACAACAACAGAAAGTGTGGCGACCAATGTTTACGCCCGCCTTTGTTTTCTCATTCTGACATTCAAACATTCGGATTTCTTCAAACCTGCATTAACAGATGTTTTTATTTTGTTTTGGCAACATGGAGGCAGCAGGAACAATCTGTGAGTACAAGATTGAGAGATCACCTTATAAAGTTGATATGGCAAACTTGTTAGTAGTGTTCAAGCAGACAATAGAGCAACATTAGCGTTTGTCCATCAAAGGACACTCAAGTTGAAACCAGGACAACCCCGGACGAACCGGGACGTCCGGTCAACGTACGCTACTTCTGTGTCCGTCTTTGGAGACGGGCACATATTGTACGGCCGGTTTTTTTTCTTCTCAAGCTTTCTGGCTGAAAACTGCTGCGACTGGAAACAATGCTGATGAGAGCAGAAACAAAATAGTAAAGTTGTGGTTGTAAAACCAAAACAATGAGCTGAAAGAAGCTAAAACGCTCCAGAGCTGTTGGGTCTCTGCAAGTGAGACCTTTCGCATTACAAGTGGTCATTTGATCCATTGTTGATCTGAAAATCACAACTTGTGCAGACATATTCCAGCTTAAAAAAAAGCAATATACTACATTTAAGGCATTGACATAGCAGCTAACAACCTGCTGCCAGTCTCCTAAAGGGGCGGGGCAGTGAAACACGTGACACAGATACAGGAAACTGACTCCCTTTGGGGTGCCTCCTCTCTGAACTGTCCCGGTAGTCCATGATATCTCCCCTTTAACCATAACTGTAGTGGTGGCAGATTTAAAAAAAAAAAAAAAAAAAAAAAAAAAAAAACGTTTTATGTTGGAGGACTTGTTGGACCAAAAGCTCTCTGCCTAATCTCTAGACATCTCAACGTTTAGACCGGTCTGCATCACGTCGGCGCATCGCTCTCAGATTCCCGGCCTACCAGACGGCCCCTCCTCTCATGATTTCATGTTCCCGCCGTTTCATAAGGGTTTAAAGCTTTCTGGCAGAGGACACAGGAGATGAAGCACCTGAGCGCGCTGAGCTTCAGACAGCGCTACGCTGCCCCGCGACAGATAAGACTCCGTCTCCGCCAGCCTCTCTCGCCACACTCTCATCCCTCAGGGAA